TTTCCTATTATCTCCGGGAGGGGAAGGGAAAAGGATTTTATTTCTACCGGAAATTGTTTATGCTGCATTGATTAACACCGCTGACCAGGAGAGGTTGCATGTTCACGGGGATGTCAACGAGTGTCATTGTAGCTTTCTAAGCTTTTGAACTTGAAGTTTCGGATTTTATTAAATACGTATCTAATTCCCATTTTTGGCTTAATGACTAAAACCTAATAAGGTGTAACTCTGTCTGGAGCGACTGATGGCATCTAATGAAGAAATACGCCGTAAAATGCAAAGTGGAAGCGTGCGTGTTTACAAGATGTGGCTTGGCTTGCTAAGTACTTGTGTATGACTTATGTATCACTTTATAACTTGCTGTAAGTGAATGAGTGGAATTACAATGGTTTACAATGGGAAACGGCACAATCGGACACATGGGAATGGTTCGAGAAACCGAGTGTTCGTTGAATATAAATGCTACACTACAAGCCGTGAAGTGGAGAAAACCGTAAAGTAAGCCTTATTTTGATCGATATTGTTTAAAAAACTGAAAGGCAGTAATAATGTTTTGATCAGAAAATGACTCAGTGCATCATATTTTTGGATACTACCGGAAGTAGGTTCAGTGTTTGAGAAATTTTGTTGGCGAGTCGATAGGTTGTCAACTGCGGTGAAATATACAAAAACTAAAATTTGGGGCTTGTTCGTTAATTGCCTTTGCAAACAGAAGAGCGCGCACCGCAGAGATTAGGGAGCTTTAGCACCGAAGACGGCAACGGCAGTGAAAACGTCACTTTTAAAATGAATTCCTGTTTTTCAAACACTGCCGCATTTATTCCAATATGCTGAAAAAGGCAAATGTAGGCGAATTTCCCTGGAGTTGATTTCTTGAGGAGCGCACTCAACTTTAGAGAGCGAGAAAGAAATTCGTCGTTGCTTGTTTACGTCCTCTATAAAACTTGCAATTAGGCATTTTCACGTCGTAGTCGTCCAAGGACGTTAAAGAAATGTACAAAAAAGCGTGATGCACGTACAAAGTTGTTGTTTTGCGCAATAAACCTATTGTTTTTTTGACATCCGCGTTGCCGTCGCCGTCGTCGTTGCTAAAGCTCCCTATTTTTACAGACTTAGTAAATAGATTATCTGTGTAAACTGCCTGCTTAGTCGTAGCTCTGGAACTGATGTACTTTTGGAGAAATTCAAGGAAAGGGTAACCATATTTTACCCATCAACTCAAATGGCCGAAACTCTATGTAGTTGATTAACCGTTTACGCCAAGCAAATTTGATATAATAAAGAGCAACATACACAAATGTAAACTAGAATGATGGTATTATATCTGCTCGAAGTCGTGGGTTGTAGGGTTTTGATAGACTTGAGAAACAGAGCTACACATTTTGCACTTCCGGGCCCTTATTTAAGTTTTTCTGCTAAAGGAGGACCCACAGATATAACTGGAACCGATTCAAATAAATAGTCTCGCTCATTTCCACTTGGCAGCGTTTTTGAAGCTGTCAGCATGAAAGGAAAACAAAATGCTTAGTTAATTTTGTTGGAGAAACCTGAAATTCAGAAAAATAAAAGGTACCTAGACCATTTAGATCACTTTAAGGCTCCGCAACAGAACCAGATCCCACTATTTTATCAAGAAACTCTTATTCTATAACTTAATTTAAAATACACAAGGTTAACTACTTAGGGATTATTCTTCTCAACTAAAAAAAACTACCATTTAGGGACCACTTATTATTTATGCCGTGGGGTGGGTGGGGTGGCTGGTAAGATCCATCAGAAAGCACAACAAAACGTTTTGACCCCTTCCAAGGAAAACTGAAAAATAAATAACCACTCTAAATGTTCTTTTAAAAACTGGCTACCCCCCCCCCCCCCCTCCCCAAAAAAAAAAGGAATGTATGTAAGAACAAAAATACAAAACGCAAGCTAAGATTATTGAGTGTTTGAACTAGCCTGCATCACTTTATCGAACTGATCCTCTTCATCCTCAGTGATATACTCTGCTCTCTCTCCTGTGCTGGGACTATAATAAATAGACAAGGAATATATCACAAACGGTTTTTGGGATACAGAAAACGAAGTGTTATCCTTGAGTCTTCAGGAATATGCAGAAATGGTAGAGGAGCGAATGCGAAAAATGCCTGAAAAGGGGCCAATGACGGTAGCTGCAAGGATCGATGACACGCCGGTTCTTTTCAATTTTTTTTTTGTGTCAGAAAAACCAAGTGAGAGTTTGTTTTTCATTCCAGAGTAAAGAGTATTGGTCAAAGATAAGGCTTTGATAAAAAATGAACCAGGCTTATTGAACATAAACAGTGTCGTAGCCAGACCAAACGGCCAACCGAGGCAGGCGGGAGTTGCTAGGGGGGTTCGGGGGCATGCCCCCCGAGAAATTTTGAACTTTAGTCTCTCGGAAATGCGATTTGCAGCGTTTTCTGGGCCTTTCTGTAACTTTTTTTCCAGTTAATTTAAGTGGAATTTAAAAAGCAATAATCAGAAACAAGCTACATAATCTGGGTGACCGTTAACCTCGCCAATGGTTTTGATCAGTATTTGTTCAAAAAAAATTTGAGTTAACGTACGTAGCCCCTTGAGATCGATGATATGGTAATTTTTTCATAGTATATTGACTGAATTGCTGAATTCTTTGTAATATCATGATGCGTTAAAAATATCCGATGATCGCTTATGTAAAATAAAAATGATCGGCGAAATTCGTCAAAATTTTACCGAGGCGAGTGCCTCGGTTGGCCTCATACTAGCTACGGCGCTGATAAAAAAGTATAGATTTCCGTGAAGGTCACTTCCAGCGAGTGGCAGCCCTCTACAGAATGTAAGCCAGACAGCCGGTTAGATTAACTAGGACACTCTATTTTGCGCTGGTAAAACCCAGCAGGTAAAGGTAAAAAGATGATTTATTTCATTTTTAACTTTCACTAAAAGGCAAGATAAAAAGAACGATAAAATCCAACGAATCATCGCTCATGTTTCTTTCAAACAAGTTTAGAAATCGACGCAAACATCTCTAGACAAGAGCAAGAAGTATTGTTTTCTAGTAATTCTGTCGAAATAAGTGACTGCCACCTTGACCTTGTTGTTGATCATTGTAGTAGTGGGAACTCCTCAGGGACCAAAACTAACGAGGAAGACCTCTGGCCGTAGTATTGGGACATATCATTTCGTAGAAATTGTGACTGTTTTCTTTATTAGCTGAAAACTGCCAGTTATGAACTGTTAGCCTTTAGGAGGCGTGCAAACCATGTACCGTTAGTCCCGAGAGCACTAAAAGTATTTGTTTGAAAATAAAACAAAAATAGAAAATCAGGTACCCCCCGCCCCCCCTCTCTTTGTGTGCAGATTTATTGATGACCCCCTTCTGACTGTCCTGAATTTGACGTGGTCCACCCCCCATTCTTGCCAGCCCACCCCCTGGCATAAATAATGAATGGTCCCTTAATCTGAAGGAACCCGCTCATGAGGCGGGTCGTTCATCCGGCTCACTTGCACTAGGATCACAGGCATGCCAAGCTTTATGAATACTTTTTATTGGCTTTGAAGTAAGGGAACGTACAAAATATAGAAATTAATGAACTCTGCTCACTTCGACGTGGGTTTGCAGATCTTTACTTTCCTGTGTAACCTGGACTGCAGTTCATGGACCTGTCACGTTTATTAAGAAAAATAGACAAGCCGGTTGAGGGAAAATGTCATATCTTATTCATATGACAGACGCAGGGGCGTAGCCAGTCCATAGACCGGTAGGCCCGGGCCTACAAATCTTTGGTTTGATCCCTCTGCGATCTGCCGCTTGGAATAAGTTAATATGTGTTGTTGAATAGGGTTGAGCTAAAAAAAAGTGTTAGTGAGGTCAGTGCATACTATATCCGCGCAATGGTTTCCGCCTTTGCGGATTAATAAAGCAAAAGCGGTAAAAGTAAAATAGTCATGCGTGCAACTATATATCAGGATCAATAGAAATGAAAGTCAGCCAGGCCTACAACTAGTCAAAAAACCTCGCTACACCGCTGAGACGTTTATAACGGCAAAAACTACATCGAGAAATGATCACCGTTTGGAGAAAAACGTCCCATTTTGGTTATACACCCTCAGTTTTCATATAAGAATGTTGTTTTTTCGGGCCAGGCTGAATATTCGTGTTTTTCTGCCGATTTTAGCCTGAAAATATTCATGTATTATTCTTGAATTATATTTGAAAAAGAAAGAATTTATCATATTCTTTTTTGCGGTTTGTTCATTTATTTTGTTATTACTTTTCTTTGGCGGTATACTATTGATATGTATTTCATGTACCCTTCATCCAACTGTCATTAACACTGAACATTTGGCTATATAACCAATGCAGGTTTCTTCGTTTTGTTGGGTAGTTTTGCCGTGGGAGGAAGCAATAACTTGATACGGTTAATTAAGTTAAAAACATATGTTCTAGATTTTCGTCTCTCAAAATAATCATCCTTCTCGAAATCTCAGCCTCGGGTTTATTCTTAAAATATTCTTGACATTTTGCAAATTTCAGCCTCGCTATTCTTATAAAATATGTTCTTATAGAAAAAAAAGAGTGTATATCTGTAATTCAGTTAAAGCACAAGGTTTTGATCATGAAATCATACTTTTACTTTCAGTTTCAAGTACTTTCAGTTTCAGTAGTTCGTCTGTCGTATGAATATAGTAACATGACACTGAAAAGTCCTACATACTGTGATCGAACTTGATGCGTAGTGATTTTTTTTTTCGCATATCCAACTCGAAATCCATATCGAATCCTAACGCGAAAATCCAACTCGAATCCTAATTCGAAAAACCAACTCAAAATCTTAGCTCGGCAATAGGTATCCTCCTCTGCATGCTAATATAATGACAGACCCATGACAGTTCTTGAATCCATTGTTATAGCTGATTTCTTCCCATTTACTTTAACTCTTACTTTCATTACAATACCACCGTACCAGCATCCAAATAACGACTGCTCTTGTTTCTTTTCAGTACTTTGTCCAAGAGGTTGGCTTTCAAGTTTTCACGGCGTATGTTTCAAAGTCCATTCCAATGACCTGGACTGGAACTCAGCAAAATCCGCGTGTGAAGCACTGGGATCAAGCCTCGCCGTACCGAATTCGAAAGCTAAATCACGAGAATTTCCTCAGTTGTTGAAGCGTGCAGGTGCAAGCAAACGTTTCTGGATTGGTTTATACAGGGATCCCAAAAACGAGCGACGATGGCTATGGGTCGATGGGTCAACCGTTTATATCACTTCCTGGAATACTGGTGAACCAAACAATGCTCGTTCAAACGAGGATTGTGGGGAAATTTTTATGCGGTCAGGGGAATCGAAATGGAATGATGAAACATGTAGTTTCCGTCGTCCTTACATTTGTGAAATCAATGGTAAGTACAACATCCTTCATGAACATATATACAATTGATGGTTTGAAACTGGTTTTAAGCCCAGGGGGTACTCAACAAATGTTTATGCGGGGAGGCTTCGTCCCCGAGTTTTCACGAAAAAGGTGCCCATTTCGTATACTTTCTATTGACAAATCGTACATCTTTACATCTGTTTAGAACTTTGCATCCCTTTTAACTGCTGTAAATACACCGTCTATTAAATAAGAATCAAACACAAAAATAGTACGTTTACTCGACTTGTCAAAGCCATAAAATTCATCTGTTAGCCCCATTGGGCCCTTTTACAGACCCAAATGACCGATTTCCCTACCCTTTCATATACTTCAACTAGTGAAATCCCTACCCTTTTGTATAGCTGAAGCCTGAAAAAGATACCCCTTACGGGTGGAGCCTCCCCGTATAGGCTATCATAGGGAGTATCCCCCCCGGGGTCTTAAGGCAGGACATAGGGCTTCAGGTCGCCCATATTTACTCTGGCCTGGGATGTTCTGGTTGCTGTGGTAGGTGATATCATCACCATATAGGGTTGAGATACAGAGTGGAATATAACATCACCGCGCTTTAATTGTAATACCTTTATAAAAGGAAGGAGGGTGTGCACTGTGGCAATTTGTAATAATCATCGCGCTTTGTAATACCTTTAACAAATGGATTCCGTGTTGCCAAGCATCTGTTCAATAATAGATCACAGTGGTAAAAACAGCAAAGTGGCACATGCACCAGACTCAGACGAATAAATCACTGATGTTTTTACCACATTTTGACGCATTCTTTGATCTCAGTATTACCGAACAGACCCATTGCAACATGGAATCTGTTTGTTTTATACAATGATCAGAAAAGAAAAAAACGACAAACTAATGCCTCGTACCGCTTGACTGTTCGAGGATTTGTGGACGTGTCAGCTTAAGCATTTTCGTAGTCACAAACGGTCCTTTTAGTCTATGCTTCCTATTTTCCGATATAATGTCACCACTATATATTTTATCCCAAAAGTCTGTCAAGGCCTCCATTTGATCAAAGCAGAATAATCGCGGAGACATTTTGAAACTGCGAGTCGGTCGCAACAATGCCACACGATGGCAACTGTTGTGAAGATTTCGTCCAGTTTAGGCATGTTCAAGTCGTCAAGAACTGTTTTTGTCTCGGTTTGTCCGTTTTTCTATCGGCCGTTTTTATACTAAGGACGCATTACAGGGACCGCGGAAGAAGCTGAAAAGTGGGAGGGCTGACAATTGACAATAATTTTTTCATATTGAAAATCGAAAAAAGGATTAAAATCATAGTATTTGATTTGTTTCTGTCGCGTGACTTTGCATACTTTATCCAGTATTTGGTTTTACTTTATCCAGTATTTGTTGCTCTTTATAAGTCGGCATTAGTGAAGATACCGAAATTCTTCATACGATTTTCATTCCGTCCAGCAAATGTGTATGCTAAATTACAGGATTGCTGACAATAAGTAGAATATTATAAGTAGAATAAATACATAACCCATCACCAAAAATCCAATTACACTTAACGAATATTAGTCAGAAACAACTCGCACTTCCAAAAACTGAAACTTTTAACAATATATTGAAATGTTTACTGGTCAAACTCAAACTCACCATTTTCACTGCAAGTAGTTGTCGTCTTTGTGCAGAGCTTTAGTATAGAGAATACTACACTGAAGGGATCTGAAAAATTTCTAACTATGGCCGTTCACTGTTCAAGTAATGTAGTCCCGGGAATGTAGTTCTTCTTGCCATCGAATATTTCATTGATTCCAGAGGAAAAAGACAAAATATAAAACTTTTATCAACTCAAAACAACTACTCAACTTCGTTTGGCTTGAAAAAGCTAGTAATTTTCTTCATTTCGTCTGATAAAACTGATAAAAAACTCTGCCGGAGCTGGAAGTCCAAAACACGCTGCCGAACGAAGCGAAGGGGTGGCCAAGGCATGGCGTTTGATCAAGGAGCAAGTCGGCCCCAGGGCACAATTACCGCGGAAAGCACAGGAGCCCCACAAAATGCCTGGTGTTTGAAATTAAAGAAAATACAGCGAATATAGCGGAATATAGACGAGGAAAAACTTGTTTCAAGTCTTTTTTTTATTTTAATTATTTTTCTTTTTAGCGCAAAAAGTGGGGGCGGGGGCGCAAAAAGTGGTGGGGCCGCGGCCCTGCCAGCCCCTCCCCCTCCGCGGTCCCTGTCATTATCCGTCTGAACGAACTTGGGCAAACATTTTTGTAGTTTGTCTGTTTATGCGTCTTTAGCATGAAGACGGGCACAAGACGGATGCATTATGCGTCCACACGAACTACCTTTCGTAGTGCGTCTTTCAAGACGTATTTCGAAGGAAAGTTCGTCCAGACGCATAATGCGTCGTGTGCCCGTCCGGACTTTTGACGCATAACGAGAAGAACTACAAATGTTTGCCCAAGTTGGTTAAGACGGATAATGCGTCTTCTGGTACAAAAACGGCCAATCTTTAGTTATCACATTCTCTTGCTATGAGATTCACTTTTGAGGCTCTTTTATGACACTTATCGTGACATATCGCCTCGTTGGTATCATCCGATTCCCTTTTTATTGTCGCACCATTCATAAAAATTATCGTGTCTCGTCTGCTTTGTTTGTTGCTATTTTCCAGGGGCTAACAGAAATCTTTATAAGAAGCGCTATCAAGGGTTAGCATGCTTATTTTGTGATATACATTCACTTAATGAGTTTACGACCACCACAGATGAACTAGGAATTACTGTTACCTACTGTTAATGTTAAAATGGAAACAGAGTGGGTTCCACTAAAATATGAGCAACAGAAACTCAAGGGATGAACTTTTATCATAAAGGTAATTTACTTTAGTATGCAGAGAAACGACATTTTTTTGGCATCAATTCAACTTCATGATGCGGCGAGACGACTTTACTTCTTTGCAGCGTATGGATTTCATTATGCAGCGAATTGTAGCGAAACGACTGTACACCATGCTCTCTTGACACTACTTAGAAACCAAACAGCTAGTGTCGATTTCTTCTTCTTCTTCTTCTTCTTCTTCTCCTTCTTCTTCTTCTTCTTCTTATTATTATTATTGTTATTATTATCATTATTATTATTATTATTATTATTTTCGCAACTGCAAAAGTTGCGTCTATAACTGTGATGATCTACTTTCATATAATTCTTCACCCCGCAGTTCACATATATGATTTTCATATATTTATAACTTCATCATCATCTTTTCACGAGTTTATAACGAATCAATTCAATGATCTACTCCCAGTTGGCTTGTTAGCTCAGTGGGTAAGAGCGCTGCACCGGTCTCGCAGAGGTCAAGGGTTCGAATCCCGTACAAGTCAGAATTTTTTTTCAGGCTTTCTTTTCGCAACTGCAAAAGTTGCGTCTATAACTGCGATGATCTACTTTCATATAATTCTTTTACCCCGCAGTTCACATATTTTCATTCATTCATAACTTCAAAGGTGAGCTATCTTCCCTCTAATGTGTAATTAGGATCCCTACATGAAAATTTATTTTCGCGGTCTATTTGCCCCTGAATTTATCGCCTGACATAATTTTTTAAAAAAGTTATTAATAACGCTGCTCACACTACATTTCTTTAGAGCCATTGATATTGTGTTTTGGTCTATAAAGTTATCGCTTAGTTGAGCGGAAAAAAATGACTACTGCCAACAGGAGTCGACCTTCTGGTGACTTTTCCAGATGCTCTACCACATGGGAGACTCGTAAGAGTTAAAAACATTAGACTGGGTTCATTTAGGAGTCTGGTTTATTTGAAGAGAGGCTAGAGGTCCACCTCTAAATTTTATGTTTTGGAAGTATTAAGTGCGAGGAAAGGTGACAGGGGGTCCAAACCTCCCGTACCTTGCATATCCGGCTTCCTCCCCTTTTTTCTTAGCTTCTTCCCTTTAGCTATTTTTCGATTGCGAAATATTAAGCATGGGTTCAGTAATTTTCAACTATTTCTTTTGCCTCTGTTCCGTTTCTCTCCCGCCTCCCCCACCCCTTTCGCCCCTTTTCTCCCGTGTTCCAACCCTTCTATCCTTCCCCACAAGTGTAGGCAGTCCAAAGATATTCGTTAAGGGAAACTGGGAAAGTGAACGGAAACTGTAGACGGTCAGTGGATGGTGGCATTTATTATATTCAGAGAATATATAGCTGGAGGGGTCAGCTCTTAAATCTTTTTACGGTGAGAAATCAAGTTTATCAACTCCGTCGATAAAACTAACTTCCCCCGCCCATACCTCTGCAGCGCCAAAGTTCCGAGTAACCTTGCGATATTAAAAAAAGGTGTGTTTTTTTTTCTCGAGGGAGCGCGAAAATCACCTAAAAGTCGCCTCCAAAGGAAAAAAAAGGGACAAGGACCGCCTTATCACTGGTTATTTCCGAGTTAAAACTACTCAACTAGGTCCTTAATTTCTGAGTTGTAAGTTAGAAACTAAGAAAAATCTTGTAGTGCCAAAGTACAGGCGCGCTTATTTTAAAACACTTCCTAATGATCGACCTGGATATTAAATCAGCAGTGGACGAAAAATTTCTAGATTAACACCAAATATTTGCTTGAGGCAAATATGATGCAAAGAAGTGAAAACTACAGTGTAGGAGGAAATCAGGGTGAGGGTAAATACCGCAATTGAATCCTAATTTACAAGATAGGGTTGCAAATTCAGGGGCAAATGCGGTATTTACCAACTTTGTCCCTGATTTCCTCGTAGTTTGTACTTTTCAGTATTATGTTCGCCCTGAGCAAGTTTGGTGTACATCTTATTTTATGGGCAGTGATGAAATATTTAGAAACTTGACCGGATTTTAAATTCAAAGATGTATCTCAAATCTCAATTTAGTGCCTAATCTGTACGCATAATAAGGAATCAGCGCAGTCATAAACGCAATTGAATTAAGAAATTACAATCCTGACCTCAATTCTTATATAATTAATTATCTTTTATAGGTTGCCCTCATTATTGGACTCCACACCAATCTTCTTGCTATAAACTATCCTCTAATACACTGGAATGGATCGCGGCAAAATTTGCGTGTAAAGCACTCGGATCTAATCTCGCAATGTTGGATTCACCAACTGAACAACGAGAAATTGGTTGGGGAAACAGAACATGGATTGGTTTGCACCGTGACTCAAGTAACAACTCACGCTGGCAATGGATTGATGGTTCGTTAGCGGTTTACCTAAACTTTGCTAACCAATCAAACAAGTGGAATGATACTGAAGATTGCGTAGAAATGTATCCGTCAAGGAAATGGAATGTCTTGAACTGCAATACTTCTCTTCATTATTCTTGTGAACTATCGTCGGGTAGGTCACGTTATTTTCAGACAACAAGAAATGAAATAGTTTTATATTCGAAGAGACGTATCTCAAATGTTTTCTGACAATTTTTTTTTTGTTTTTTAAAAAGGAAAAGTCACAATGGTGTAGATTGAAATAATAATAGTTGCTAAAGGACTAGCCTAGCATTTTATATTTTATACTAACTAATGCGATGCACTTGTGTAGTGCATTTTCAAGAGTTACTAGTAACGAAGGGGCCTTACCTACCTATTTACATTTTCTGCACACACACACACAAACTCTTTATTGTCTTTAAGTCGCAGTTATTCGTCTGCGTTCACTACCCAATAGCGGTTTTCTGGAGAATTGGATAATATTTTCCCAGATTTGTAACAAGATTGCACGATGGTTTTATGTTCGATTCTGCAGTAAACACAACCTCGTTCCCAGGGTCCTCTCCTTCTCTCCGGAATGAGAGAGAGACACTTCGGAGGAAGAGTAAAATAGAACCCTGGAAACTAGGTTGCAGCAGACTAAGGCGAATCGCAAACTTAACTGAAATCAAGGACACAAATAACTCTTCGCGAAAAAGGAAGGTTGCTAAAATTTCCCTACGTCCATGAGCTCAATACCAGTGACTGCATGTTCGAGAATGTTCTTTTTCGGTTGGAAGAAGTTTCATTCCATTGTGTTGAGCATTCTAATGAAATTGAATTAAAAAGACAACAAATGAGAAGAAAAAAACAAAACAAAAACATAAATTTCAATTAATGAAGAGCCTAAGTTGAGGATCAGTCCCAGAAAACTGTTATAATTATTGCTTTAGACAAAGGCAAAACGCAGCTATAAACTTTTTGACACATTTAAAGGTCTAAGTAATCTATTACCAGTGTCGTGATTGTTTATCTCCTTTACTTTTTAAACTTTCTTTATATCTCCTCTTTTAAAGAATTTACGTGCCGAAAACTCTCCTTAAATGAGGTACAAATTTTGCCCGGCAATTGTGTTTTATACAATCAAAGATACGGCTCAATTTGCTCATTTTCCTGCGCTACTGGAAAACAAATTAGTGGTCCTTCATCTGTTCGGTGCGGAATAAGAGGATACTGGAGCGAGGAAGTGAACGAAGTCAGTTGTAATGGTTCGTATAACTGTAATTTTTGTTTTTTTGCTTCTTGTTACCCTTGTTTTTCTCTTGATGTTTCAAGCAGCGTTAAAAAATAATGGTAACGGTGTTGTAAAAGAATTAAAGCTTGAAGTCACTGGTTACGTCACGTCCACCATGTTGGTATGCCAATTTGCGTGGACGCTGACCACGTGGGTGAAAACCCTCTATACCAAAACATTGCGAGCAGTGAAAACGTCGCCTCAATAATTTTTTTTGTGAGCCCCAGTTCAAATGTCGAACTTTTTATTATCGAACCTAATCCTTCAATTAAGTACAAGAAAAAGATTGACGTTTGAATCAATTAAGTCTGACATATCCAATTTGGGTCGACCGATGCGCACATGGGAATTTCGACTTAGGAGCGATGTCGACTGATTTTTCATGTGCCCAACCTAATGCAAAAATTACTCTACTTATATTTATTTTCACTGGTAAACGTTGTAGACTATGTACTTGTTGAAAATGAATTAAGCCCGACCAATTAAGTTTGACCAGAAACTCATAAGGGGTTGAAACGTGTAACTCTCATATGTTTGCTTTGTCCGATGCTCATGATTATTCATTTTCGAAAGTACCATATTTGGAACGATGAGAAGAGATAACTGACCAATCAAACTTCGTAAACAACGTGACGTAATTTTACTTCACGTTCCCGCGCCCGCTTAAAAAAAGGCCGACTAACGGGGCAAAAACTCCCGAAGACCGAGAAAGCTTTCAAAGGTTGAAGCCAGGAATCTTACCGACATACTGACGCACGCTATTATTGCCTTACCACCCGGGCCAAACGTAACATTGTGAAACCCATTGACGTCCTCGCAACTTCTTGAAGTTGTCACTTCATAAAACAGTGACTCGTTGACCCTCTGCACAGTAAACTAAAAACTGCAAATAGGCTTTTAAAATTCTTATATTACTAGTCTAGAATAAACAGCAAAAAATATTTTCGAATAAAATTCATTAGCTGCGTATCAGTGTCCAAAACCTGAACCTCACATCTGCGCAAAAAGTGATGCGTGTAATGAGTGTGAGAAGCATTTAAGCTTAAATTCAGCTTGGATGTTGTAGTCACGATCATGTTTGGAGCTAATTTTATGAATAAACAAAGTCAACATAATAGACATAGAAGCCATTTCTTGAAAATTTTTATTCAAAATCCAAAAGGTTAATCCTTTAAAGCAATTCGGAAAACACTATCTGGATCGTGGATCCGCTCACGCAATTGAAATCAGCTGAGCCCATGGCATAATTCAACACAAAATCCATCTCAAATTGGGGCACATTTTGTAATTTTTCTTTAGCGCCGAAGAGAAAAATTTATAAAACGTCTATGAAACATTTAAAAATACATAAATTCCCTTTCAAAAACGTAATTGTCTTGGCCATAAAGTGCAAAATGTACCTGAAAATTCAGTAAAAACTTCGCTGCCTTGGTTGCATTTAATAGACCATGCGTGAAGAAAACAGGGTTGAATTCCTCGAAAGACAATTTCTCAGGGGCACCCAACGACCGTTTTCTGGGAAATGATCTGAAATGGCTCGTTATGCATCCTGGAGTGCTTTAAAAGCAATATAAATGAATAATTCGCATCGCTAAAAAAATTTTATCCGTTCGGTCGTCCTAGGAGTGGTTTGAATTTTTTAGGGCTGTTTTTCGCCCTTCCCGAAAAGAACAGCCTACAGTGAAAGCTTTCCGAAAACGTAAGATTACCTGACGAGCTTTTCCCTTAGCCGAAATTTTTAGCGGTCCTTTCAAATTTTTTTCGAAAACTTTATCTCTTGGGAAATGTCTTCGAATTTTCTAGGGCGACGTAGAATGTATAGAAAATTCTAGGTGTAATAATAAGAATAATTATAATTAAAAATTAAGAACAACAAAAATAAGAACAAAAGAAAAGGCATTTCAGTGATTTTAAAGCCAGTTTCAAACGTCTTGTACCTTGTCGAATTCAATTCGCACGGCACTTACTGAAAAATCTGAAATACGGCATGGCACTGACTGATTACAACGCACATTGAACGCAGTCAGCTAAGGCAGTTGGCAGAGTTGGGATGGGTGCTATGGTAATGGGAGAGGACAGCTGATGGGGCGAATCTGAAGAATAGGCCGAATAGGTCCAGTAGGCAGAACGCAAAATGGGATAGTAAAGATCAGAAGATTACGCGTTTTATAACAGTTCTTTAAACAGTTTAAACTAGGTTAAAAATAAGCGACGGGCATCACACGACTCCTGCACTAAATCGTATTGGAAGTAGTATGACCTTCAAAGCTTCGCTCTAACTAGTAGGTCTTAAGAGATTTCCCTTGCGATAAGATATGAAGGGAGGCTCCTTAAAGATTTCTTTTAGTCGTTGCTGGTTTTGTATAAGGTGCCACTTCCCCATAAGTATTTTCTTCAGGCTAGGTAAAGCCGGGTGGTATTGTGTAACAAAAGGTAGAAGTTTTTTGCGTGCGGATTTGTTTCTCTGTTGTAGGGCTGTTTTCCTGTCGGCAAATTTTACCTCAGAGAGGTACTTTCTTAAAATAGCTGCAGGGTAGCCTCTTTCTAACAGGCGGTTGTGAAAATTTCTGATATTCCTCTCAAATGTGATTTGCGAGGAATTAGTCCTTAGAAGCCTGAGCGCTTCCCCTAAGATGAAGCCTTTTCTCACGCCTGGTGGGTGACACAAGTAGAAGTTCGTTTACTGGAATGTTTCTGTTGGTTTGAAATGTGTTTGCACGTCTAGGATTAATTCCTTGTCGAATCTTACTCCTTTGTACACTTTTGTGTCCAAGAACGTGATCTCTGTTTCTGACATCTCAGCCGTGAATTTTATCGTAGAGTGAAAGTTATTCGCCTTTTCACAAAATTCTCTATTTTATCTAGACTTGTGTTTCATAGCGAAAACACATCGTCAATATACCCTTTCCAAAAAAGCGGTTTGATGCAACTCTGACTCAATATTTGTCTTTCTATTCTGGCCATGAAGATGTTTGCAAAAGCAACGGCCGTCTTTCTTCCCATGGCTGTTCCATGGGTTTGTAGGTAGTTGCTACCTCAGAATTGGAACGAGTTTTCTGTTAATATATGGTAGAGCATTTCTCTAAGGTTCTTGGTAGGTATAGGGGCTTTGTCTCCATAAAAATCTTCGTATGCGTGACATACGGTGGTTACGCCCTCTTCTTGTGGTATGTTGGTGTAGAGACTAGTAACGTCCATAGACACTAGGACTGTATTCTTAGGCAATTTTGTACTCTCAATAAAATTCAGGAAGTCTGTCGTATCTTTTAGATACGAGTCTCGTTTCTGTGCTATTGGCTGAATGAGTCGATCTACAAATGCAGATATTCTCTCCGTGGGCCATCGCACCCTGATATTATAGTTCTACAGACAGGCGTCGGTTTGTGAATCTTTGTAAGTGTGTAGAAAATAGGGATACTCGGAGGATTAGGCGTTAGGGATAGCCATTTGGCTGTCATATCGTCAATGTGGCCTTCCTACAGCAGCGACTTAATTAGCTGCGTAACTTTTCTGGTTGTGGTTTCAACCATAGGTTGAGTGAGGGGCTGACAATCGTTCTTCTCATTCAGCAAAGCTAAACCCTCGTTTATCTTACTTTCTTTGCTCATCATGACGGATGTTGTTCCCTTGTCTGCCTTTTTGAGTATAATGGTTTTGTCACGCGGCTAGCAGGAATCTAGAGATTACTACAAAATCCGAAATTCTTAGGTGAACACACCACACAAATCCCGAAACTCTGAGCCCAGCAAACAGTCACCACGAAACATTTTCGAAATTTTTAGCTGTTCTTGGGCTCTCGAAAATTTTAGCCATTCTAGAGGGCTCCTAACAGATATTTTCCAGAAAACGGTCGTTGAGTGCCCCTGATTTCTTGATGAAAAGCTTCCCTTCCTCCACAAAAAGAAAGCTGAGCATTCTTTTGAACTTTCTCTTTTCATTTTTTGTCTTTTACCGGTGTATTTTTAACCTTGAAATGAAGAACTCTTGTCTTAAAACATCTGCATGGTGATCGCGCGGCAGCCATTTTGTTGATGAATGGAAACCCGTCACTAAGGTTTCCAAATATGGTAAAAGTGAATATTCAAGAGCATTGAACGCGAGTTACACGTTTCAACCCTTTATGAGTTTCTGGTTTGACGTAGGAAACAACCATCGGACTTTTATCAATTGGGTCGACCCAAATTGCTATTAAGTTCGGTACATGAAAAGTTCGACGTTTGAACTCAGTGGGTCTTAGTCCCCTTCTTTCCCATTCGCCCTTAGTGAATTATCGTTTAAAGATTTTAAGGTGTTTCGATACAGTTTTCGCAGACCATACCGATTATTTTCGATCGCCTTGAATGAAGTTTCTCAAAATGCAATTTCTAGTAAATTTGAAATCGATTAAGGGATCGGTCATAAAGTACGGGGGTGGGCTATGAAAAATTGGGGTGGGTCACTATTTTTTAACACGTTAAAAGGGTGGGTCAGGAAAAATAATGCACTGCATTAGGGGTGGGTCATGTTAAATTATTCACATATCACTACAAACGTTAGTAAAATCTTTTTTAACAATAAATCTAATTTTCCACATTAATCCAACTTTATATGACAACAGGAATTCACAGATTAAATTTATGTACAGTCTTTAAATCTGAAGAGTAGTCACGCGGGAAACTTGTTATGGTATAAAATCCAGAACAAAGCTTTACTGTGTGTTCATAAACCTAACTTATGTTAACATCTTTTTTGATATCTTCTTCTAATCATCTTTAGTCATCTTCACCATTACCATCACCCTCAGAAGCATTACCATCCTCCTCCTCCTCGTCCTCGTCCTCCTTCTCATTATCATCATCATCATCATCATCATCATCACTATCATCTGGCACTCAATACAACTGGTGACACGTTTGCTCTGATTGTTTCAATAGCATCCACTGTAAATTTACCTTTACTTATTAATAGTTTTAACCACCTACCATCTCTCTTTGTTAAGTTGTTAAGGCCTATCACACTACAATGATCGGAGGTTATAACTTCACCATAAGATGATGAGTGACTGATTGCGGAGAACACTCTCTCACAATTTTTCTCTGCTCTTTCATGGCCTCGCTTCCTAGCTTTTGTTTTATTTTCTTTCACTCTTCTCTTTTTCGAGACGAATATTTCTTTTGCAAAAGGATACATTCTCTTGTATTTTTCTTTTTGGGCCTCTGCCCTCATCAAAGTCTGGTCAATGTTACTTTGCAATTCTGCAATCATTCCCAACCATTTTTCATTGAAGCGTTGCCCACACTCTTGCCCACTGATGATTTTCCCAGAATTTTTAGTGAACCGCTAGGCATTCTCTTTCTGGATACTACTCTTCAGCTTCTCAGATTTCTCTTTCAAATCCTGAAGTTTTTTAATGTTGTGATTAATTGCTTGGCGGTCAGTAGGCTTTAAGGGTTCCTCTTCTGAATCGCCTTCTGGGATTGCTGCTTGCAATGACATAGCTGACAGCTGGCAGTGAAGGTCATACTAATGTACCTATCCACATCAGCGTTACTGGTTTCGGTTGGGGGGTGAGTCACTAATTTTTCCTTTGCCACTCCAGGGGTGGGCCGCCCCAATTTTGTCAAATAACTCGGGGTGGGCCACTGAAAACCAGTGCTAAAAAAAAAATCATTGCCCACCCCCCCTGTACTTTATGACCGGTCCCTAAATCCGAATTTCGCGCGATCTAGAACTGCTACTGAAAGTCTGACACCAGGAACTTAAAGTGTGGTATTTGGCAAATAACTTCCGTGAGAAGTAAAAAATTCTGTATGTTTTAAATTCAAATAAAACGTAAATATACTTCAAACCTTATATTTTCAATAGCCGTGATAAATTGTTTAATGAAAAAGTTCTAAATAACTCAGTTATCTTACAGCGGTGATTATATTGGCGTGAACACCTAAAATATGTCTGGAATGTTTATTGTGTTGCAACCAATCACAGGTGAGATCTTCACACCACAGAAACCACAGGCAACGACAGTTTCCGATCGGTCATGGAACAAATTATTTTCGTTTTGTTTAAGGATACAAACTGCCTTATTAGGAATTTAAAACACCGCTGTTCCCCAAGATCAGTGCCGAGGACCGCATCCAGTACATCGTTCGATTTTAGAAAGAAAAGTTTTAGAAGCCAACGCGACGCGACGGCGACCAGCTTTCCATGTAACGACATTTCACATGAAGACAATAAAAAATGAACAATCCTGACGTTTTCGTTTCTGATAGCATAATCCTTGCTAATATTTTTGTGTAGAACAAGGGGATTCGATTTGTGTGGACTAACGATTGAACCTTCAAACTACTGTGCTGGCAGAAGTCCCTTGATCGCAAGGTCGCAAACAGGAAAGACCACCGACCAAATTCAACATATATGGAATGATTGGCACATCGCGCCACGTAAACATTCCAATTTTCGGTATTCCTTCCAAAATATAATTTTGCTTTTTCTCAGAAAGCATTTACGCATTTAATATCTGGGGGATTACAAGCTATAGGAAGCTAGTTATGAGGGGATTTAGCCAGGAAGATTTCAAGTCCAAATTAGCACATTTTGAGCGCAAAAGAAAAAAAATATGATTATCTCCGATCGCAGTTCTTCGATCTGCTTCGATTTTTCACAAAAAAGTGTTTACGCTTACTGCATTAGCTGCAAAGCGATGGAAATCAGAAAACTCTAATTGCTTACCTTGCAACATTGTAACTTGCGATCAGGCGTAACTACCGATTTCGATCGTTACAAAAAGTTTGAAAACTCGCGCGCCAAACCGTCGCGTGCGTAGGCCCGGCACATCGGCTTTGTAATTTGTTTCAAAATCGCTCAAACCTGTATTCTTCGCTATTATAGCAAATACTGTAAACAAATAGGAAGGAAAAGCAATTGTTTACTTGTAAAAAGACTGAATGTTAAAACAAAATGAAAATAATTTGTTCCGTGACATATAGGAAACCGTTCGTTGCTTGTGGTTTCTGTGGTGTGATGATCTCGTCTGTGATTGGTTACATCACAATAAACATTCCAGACATATTTCAGGTGTTCACGCCAATATGATCACCGCTGTAACTAACGTCAGAAGGTTGCTTAATATCATATTTCGATGCATGGAAATTTTGTTTTATTTCCTTTCTTGCGCTCCTGAAAACTATCCTGTTTTCTCACCACCTGTCTAAGTGCAACTTTATTCTAAATTTTGACTTTCAGCGCTTTTCTGTATATCTCTAAAACGGCTCGAAAGAATTCTTTTCACACCTTAACACATAATCTTCATGATGTATATAATAATGTCTGAAGCTTTCGTTCAGATTGATTCACTGCAACACCTTAAAATTTCAAGACGAATCTCCCCTACGAACCGACCGGTTCGTAAGCTAGATTCGTAAGCTAGATTCGTCTTGAAATTTTTAAGGGTGTTGCAGTCAATCAATCTCGATGAAAGTTTCACACATTAATATATACATCATGGTGATTGTGTGATGAGGTCTAAACAGAATTTTGTCGAGCCGTTTTAGAGATATACAGAAAAGCGCTAAAAGTCAAAATTTAGAATTAAGTTGCTCTTACACAGGTGGTGACAAAACAGGTTAGTTTTCAGAAGCGCAAGAAAGGAAGTAAACCAAAATTGCTATGCATCGAAATATGATTTTAAGCAACCTTCTGACGCTACTTCAGATTAATTTGAGAATTTTTTAGTTCTCACTGAGGTTATTTGCTAAACACTGCACTTTTACCCTCGGATGTACGAGGGGGAGGTGAGGGGGGGGGAGTTTTTTCCTAGAGGATAAAACATCAGCACCTGACGTTTTCAGTACCTGTTCGTTCATCCCTCGCGCACATTTTGAGACAAGTTCAGTAATGATCAGTTGCTATGATTACGAGATATGACGTCATAAGTAGCAGGTGGTCATGCAATTTTTGTGTGAAAATACATGTTTTTTCAACTTCTTTCAACAACAAAAGTAAATCTTGTGACTAAAATCATGCAAATTACTTATGTGTTATTTTTCATGTAAAGCTAAAAAAATTACCGTTTCTCGCGGTTTAAGCCTGATTTCTTATTCTTGGTAAAATCCAAGATGGCAGCCAAGATGGTGACCATTGTTGGTGACGTAACAGGCCTCCAGTAGCGCCATCACCCATAAAATATACCTTATCATGTTAAGAAGATCAAAGGCTTTCCACTAAAGGTAAAATCGTTTCCAAATACTACAACATGTCAAAAACGCCGGGGAGGGGTTCCATCCACCACCCCCCTCCACCTTGTACCACGGTGGGGGTATGGTATGGTATGGTAACTTTATTTATACACGGTATTTCCTTCAGGTACATTTACATTCAAGTATAGAAAAACTAACTACCTAACTGATCTAGAATCTAAGATAAAAACTAAAATAATAAAGATGAAAAGAAAACACCTGCTTTTCAAGGAGGCCGTGTGTAAAAACAGCATATCGCTAATTAAATTATTTGTATTTGGTATGTGTTTGCGTGTGCGTCCGAGGGTTAATTTTCTGGTGTCGGCTTTTCAGTAGCAGGTCTAGATCGCGCGAAATTCAGATTTCATCGATTTTTGTTTATTGTTGTCATAGTGATATCGATTTTACTAAAAACTGCATTTTGACAAACTTCAATTCATAGTCAAATGACTGGCAAAAATTTGGTGGCGTTCGGACAAGGATATAATTACTTTTAGAGCGATTGAAAAACTTCGGTATGGTCTCGGAGAAACTGTATCGAAACACCTCAATGTAGTGCTTCATAACTCTTAAAAAGAGCAAGGCAGCTTTTTATGGAATTTTCATTGAGAGAGACACATCCACTGGATTTTTGCAGGTAGCACTCAATCTTTGTGGCATTGCCTTTTAATTTGTTTTGTTATTTAGAATGTCAAGAGGCTCTCGGTATGGAGAAAGGAGCGATCTCTGACGGGCAGATTAGTGCTTCGTCACAGCTCAATGCCAACCATGAGGCCAGCCAGGGTAGGCTGAACTTGAAAGGATCTTGGTCAGCTTACGCTAATGACGCAAAGCAATGGCTACAGATTGATCTAGGTAGCAATCGTCTCACTGTCACACGGGTGGCAACTCAAGGAAGTAATTTCCAGAGCCAATGGGTAATAAATTACACGCTGAAATACAGCGACGACGGTCTTAATTTCCAGTTTTACAAACAACAAGGACAAAGTGAACACAAGGTTAGACACCTCTGCAGACTTTTACATTGTGGGGAGTTTGTTACTTTTTTAAAGATGTGATTCTTGCTTGTCAAAAACAGTAGATACAGTGCATGTAACCCTCAAACCCAAAAAATTAATTATCAAAGTAATGATCTTGTATGTTTTGAGATCTTGTGCATCCTTTACCCCTTCGTCAGTGAACTGTACTTTTTTTTCTTCGTCATTTCGTTCACCATACTTAATTCCTCATTAAACTCCCTCTAAGCAGTCAGTGGGGGTGAGTGAGGCTAATAAAAGTTTCCAGCACCAAGCAAACAAGAAGGGGGTTCATTTGGGGTCGAGGATAATTTGTGGTCCGTTTTAGCCATCCTTTCCCTTTTGGGGTGTTGTGGTCGGGGCTCATTTGCTGTACTATACAATTCCCCTGTTCCTCAAAATAATTTTGAAATTCACTGTTTTCTAAAAGTATAAATTTTAATTCACTTGTTCCCCAAAATCCAATGCTGTTAGCGTTTCGAAGTTTCAAACACATAGAGTTGTAATAGGGCAGGCCTAACCTATTGCAGAACCTGAAAAGGCATCAGGGTAACGCGTAAAGAAAAATGGCCGGTAGTTCTTTGGAAGGAAAAAAACGGCTTCAGGCCCCAGTCAACTCACAACCAAGTCACAACCGACTGCAATAGACCAGAGAAGCAGCAAAATTGTCAAACAATAGAAGTCTGACAGTACAATGCAAAAGTTTATTTGAAAATGATATTATTTTAAACTAGAAAATCAATGTCCCTCTGTTACTGGAAAGACTCAGCCGTTAACCTGTTCTCTAGAGGTCATTTCAGGATACTTCTTGTTTCGCCCTAAAAGTAAATGGACAAGCTCCCTTTTGGTCGCCAAAACCCCCGCTCAAATTTCATATTCATAGTGTATGTTTTAAAATCCCTTGTAAAAAAGTACGATAATCGAGTTAAAAACCCCTCCATACTATCACAACATCAATAATATTCACCAGAAAACACTAAATTTTCTCCAAATGATTCCACTTCTCAACCAAAGACAATCATATTTGCATGACTACATGCTACCATGAACAGCTTTCATTCGCATCAGAGGTTACGTCTAGGAGTGCAGGGACCAGGGTGTTCTGCAATTCAGTACCTGGTGAAACAAAATGTCATCCTTTCGATTTTGAATAGCAGGCAAATGGCGCAAAAACCGCGACGAATTGTCCATCTAAGTGCTGTTTTTTATTTTCTTTTTTTGACCTGCTTCAGGTGTTTGTTGGCAACACAGACGAGAATACTATCGTTTATAACGAACTCAATGGGTCGATTGTAGCACGCTACACACGTTTTCAACCAACAGCTTGGCATAACCAAATATCAATGAGGGTGGAACTATATGGCTGTAAAGGTACTTTTCATTGGTAACGTCCCTCTTTTGTGGAATTAGGAAAAAATACAAACAAATCCTTGTTTAATTTATCACTTTTGGTGGCCTTTACTACTGTATTGCCAAATAAATATTAACCGTCATGGCTTTTCTTGACCGCTGAAGAAACCTATTCAATTTCCTATATTGAATTAGGTTTCTCCTAAGTCAAGAAATCTTTAATTCTGATACTTTGACTTCGGCGTAACTTCATAGAATGCCCAAGATAGAAAAGAAGGAATTCATGACTCACGTTGTTCCTATGCATTGTGGAGACCCTTCGGGAAAACAACAAACAATAACAAACAAACAAAAATAAAGTTCTGACGAACTAAGAGATATTTCATCTCAACGCTTTGTTATTGAGCGTATATGTTGTGGTTCAATTTTTTCCTTGGTTTAAATTTCATTTTCCTTTGTTTTAAACTCGTTATGATACATTACCATACCCCCAAACAAACGAAAATAAAATTTAAACCATGGATAACATTGAACAACAAAATATACATGCCTTTTTCTGTCGCAGTTAAAGAGTCCTAGGTCTACTTTAAATGCTTATGATTCTAAAGATTATAAAGGGCCGCGGAAGATCGAAGTATAATGAAATCGAGAGTAGCTTATTGGAGGTTTGTTTGATATCGCCATCTTTACTAATGGAACGAACCGAACTTGTTCGTTTTGTTAGGAAACCACGTATACGGCCGCTGGTTTCTAGATGGCACTGATCCAGATGTGGGGTAAGTTGGGTTATATATGTCTTGTTTGTTCAAGGTTTGGTGCTGGGAGGGGGCGGACATGTGGCGTTTTATGCCCTACCCCTATTTCTTATTTCGCTTCCCCTCTTAACTTTCTCTAACTCTTAAATATATTTTCTGATTTACCATTCTCTCTTGAGAATGGTTTCAGTATCACCTCAAACTTATGCATTTGCCTTTCTGACTGCTGCAGATGGCATTGCACTCATAGTGTTAACTGGTTAAATTTTTGTCTTATAACGTAGGATTCGAGAGTAAAATAGTGGCTTGCATGTTCCTATGACAGGTAATTCTTTTATTCACAGCTAGATTCCATTCATTGGTTTTTGTGATCTTACAGGTATTTTGGTACTGTTAACCATACTAAAGGCTGGTGTCCTGGAAGCAAAGCAGCGACTTTCAGTCAGAATAGTTCGTATGCTACTGTGCCCAACATTAACATAACAACCTGTGACTTTACAATTGCTTTTTGGGTAAAGTATATTGGTGTTGACGGGCCTATACTGGCACTTTGGTCAAAGGGTGGAAAACTATTTTACGTGACGGTCAAGAATTCCCGACTCATTTTATCGATACACAACGCTTTCGACTTACAAATCAATTACTGGAATCACGTAGCAGTAACCTGTCAGCTGCACAAGATCAAGGTGTTCGTTAATGGTACGGAGGAGGCATTGAGGGACGAATGGGATGAATATTTCTTCTCATCGTTGGGCCGTTATCAGTCAGAGTATATCATAGGAAATGATCCAGATTTCGTCCAGATGCCAATGGCAAGTGGGGTGTTTGTTGGAGCAGTCATGGATCTTTATGTGACTGGAATAGCTTTATCTGGGAGGCAGGTCTATGACCTGAGTAAAGGTGAGAGTAGTATAGAGGTCAGTTGGAAGTTAAAAAATTGAATGTTCTTTTTATAGTCCTGGTTTCAGGCTTTTAAAGATTGTGGTAGCATAATGTTTTGGCGTAATTCGTAATAATTTTTATCAATTTTCCAAAAACTATTGTAATAATTTGCACTTTTGGCTAGTTTAACAGCTCAAAATTGATCATGTTAGCACTTATTTTGGCCCGAGAGCAGAATTACATGTAAATTTAAGTGACGAAATAAATTTTTTGTCTGCTTATTGTCATATTCATTGGACTTAGGTCCCGCAGGAATTAATCAATGGTGATAATCAAGAACTCTTTTTACAGGACTCAACGCATGCACATCATTAGCTCGATTACTTAAGATGGCGTCAGCGTGCTGGTCGTTAATTCTGGTTTCAGTTTTTGTAGTTGTTAGACAGTTTTGTAGGTTTAGTGGTGTACCTTTCTACATTCATCTATCACTGAAAATATATCAGTAGAAATCACTAAATAATCGCAGTATTATTCTCATTATTTAAAGGCAAACCAATTACACCCGTGATAAACAACAAAGAATCGGAAATACATGGTTGCAAAGTCAATATAACTTGGAGTAGGAACGTATGCACCGTAACGAAGACCACTATACGGTTTAGGGAGATAAAGCCGCTAGGCGATGAAGCTGAATGGAGCGAATTAAAGGTTCCTGCAACCACCTTTCATCTTTTATCTCTGGAATGCGACAAGTGGTATGAAATTGGAGTGTCTTCCTGGTCTGGAGAACTTCAAAGCGACTGGTCAGTTTCTTGGAAATTTAAAACCCGCTCTACAGGTGTGACATTACCTTATGTATGTTTAATAATAGCTGATAGGTTTTGGTATTGACACCAAACCATATCCAGTTGAACCTCTGCTTAAGGGTCCACAATAGCCGGGTTCTCAAATCCCGCCTTCCCGCTAGTTTTTTTCTTCTTAATTCCGCGATCCCGCCTGTTTTTACGTGCGAATTCCGATCCCCCTTTATAGTCCGCTACACAGCCACAAAGTTTTTGTGGAGGAGCGTTGGGTGACAGCTCTAAAAACTGCTGTGTAGCAGACTAGATCTCGCCCTAATTTTTTTACGGGTTTCCTGCTTTCATTATTGAAATATTAAAACGTTATACAATGTTTAAGACTTGCTTTCTTGCAATAGGCAGCTTTGATGTTTAAGGCTCTTGACTTAACCATTAATAGCCTGAGCCTGGGGTCAGGCTCCGTGGTGGGGAAAAAAGGCAAAAAACGGGGTCAATTTTTTTCTCCCTTTTCCCCCAAGGCGGAGCCTGGTCCAAGGCTAAACCATTAACGACTGTAACTTTATTTTCTGTTTTGCTTATTATTATTTTGGGGGGCGCATCTATACAAAAAAGAAGGTTTACTTCGATCTGAGTTCTGGCGATTTGGAAACAGCCAGTTGAGTAAGGTAGATGGATGTTTCGATTGATTTACTGCTAGGTTGCATTAGGCGATGAAGCCAATTGTCTGCGCTGACAACGGCTCATACCGTGCTAGATGGACCTTGACCTTATCTCTAATCTGTCAATCAAACCGGCGGTCGCAAGACTGTTAAGCCAATTTTAATTACCAACGGAGGAACGACGCGCTCCAGCCCAAAAAGTCAAATTATCTTTAGAAAAACAAGCTGGACTTTAAAAATCATTGCTTAAAGATCAATCTTGTCCCAGTGCAGTTCTCCATAATTTATGTAGCTTCAGTTTAAGCTGCCATTCATTCTTCGAAATTTGGATCTGTAAATCACTGAGGAGAATTTAAAGAGGGGGACATTGGGGGGGGGTCTGAACACCGCAACACCGCAAAAAATTTTGCCGAACACCGCATCACCGCAAGAAAAGTCGGTGGATCACCGCCACCGCAATATCTATTTTCAGTCTGATGATTTTA